GCACTCTCAAAAATCGGGTACTTTTTTCACTTAATTCGCGATAAAAGAAAAATCGCGGACCCGAAAATTTCCAAATTAACATGTGATACGCAGAAATGTTCACTGATTACAATAAACTTTACCGCAATTTTTGCCATCGAGCGGTTTTTGCACGGATAGTAGGTATTGCTGATGTAGTAATGCCCATTTTGATGGGACTATCAAACATTGCTTCGTAGGGTAATTTCAAACCCTCTTACCACTTTGTTAACCGGTATGTTTCCATCCACGTGCTCAACATATTTTCGATATGATGATTGGCTCGCTTTACTGATCCTTGACTCTGACTGTGTCTGGGCTTCCCATGTACTAATTTTAACGTTTGATCACATAGAGCATAAACTTTCAATAACTTGGTTACAAAATTCTCGACCATTATCGAAATGAAGGATGTTCCAAATGTGCATGATATGCAACTTCTGCTGCGCATTTAGATTGAAGTTGCACGAAGAATCACAAATTTAGTGAGATGGTCTAAAATGAATTTATAATTTCCATGAGGGTTCGGTTGTAGATTTATTACATCTATTTAAAAATATGAGTTCATTTCACTATGAAGTATAGGTTTAATGACAATGCCCTTTTTCTAAGTCTTCTGTTTTCTTTTGACAAGGTTGGCATAGCTTCAAATATGTGATAATAGCCTCAACTGTTACATTTTTATACTTGCATTCCTTAAGCATCCTTGTCCTTCCACCGTGTCTAACAGCAACATGCGATTCTTCGAGAATGTTGAATAAATCGTCGTGACAAACATAATACTTGATTTCTTCATTCTCTTCCTTCATCGGCGCAATTAGCTTTTCATCGCCGCCTATAGTCAAAATATCATAACGTTTTAGTCGCCTATAATGAACGGCTTCCTTCCTTTTCACGTTCTTTGCAATTTTTACTTCTTCTAAACATTTTGCGTATTTGTCCTTGTCGATATAACATATATTGTCGTTGTCTTTATGGCAAAAAGAAGGTAAAAAAGGCATGCAGGGAAGCTCATGTTGTAAAATCGAGCGCGCCCGATTGAATGTTAAAAGTTAATAACGTTTACCCGGGTACACAAATTTCACAATCTACTGTGTCCAAAATTTGAAAAAATTCTTTACCACCAGATGCGTTAGAAATCTTCCTAAAAGTGGGCGGCCTAAAACAGCCACAGATGACGACATCAAATTAAATGTGCCTTTGGCTGTTCAAGAACAACCTCAAAATTCCCTAAGAAATCTGTGCCGAGATATGGGAATTAGCCATATCTCGAGTACGTTTTCTATCGTACATCATTTTAATTTCAATTCGTTGTTGTTCGCTTAATTGTGCCATAATTTGTTGTAATTGACAATTTTTTTACGTTTAATCTATGCGTTTAATGGTGTAAATGGAGTCATTTCAGTTCCTACTTTGTGTCTAATTTGCTGATAAAACATTTTCAGAAAATTCATCGAATAGAATGAAATATGATCTATCAAAATTTGCAAGAAAAACCTATGTATCGCCTTCAAGATAACAATGTTGGTTACCATAGCAACGAAACTAAGAACAATAGAAAACAACAAATATAGCCAGAATATGCGCCATAATTAACCAGCAAACTTTTATTTCAAACATTTTTCATTTAAATCACAAATGGCGTATTTAGTAGCTACGCTCCGTATTTTTGTTCCACCCTATATAATTATATTTTTATTTTTATTAGAACTCATAAACTAAATATGTTAGAAGAAAATATTTTGGATGACAATTATTTGTAATGAACCACCAAACCGTTATGCGCAAGCGATTGTAATCCAACTATGCCTATTACCAACCTAGAGAATTTAAAATCCTAACATTTCAAATTTGAGTCATTTTGCAACAAAATAATTTTGAAGAAAGAAATTAAAATTTATGGGTGATAATGATATTAATAAAAATTGTTTATAATATATCACTGAAACATAATCTATAAACCATTTCATTCCAATCATTTCACATTTTTTGCTAGAAGCTATAAAATACCAAAATCTTGAAATTTACTTTTTTGGACAAAGTTTCATTAAAACTCAACAACAAAAAATGCTAGGAGAAAGTATTGTGAATGAGAATTGTTTGTAATGAACCAGCAAAACGTTATACGCAAGCGATCATAACACAACTATACTTGCTACCAACCTGGCGGATTTAAATCTCAAACTTTTCAAATTTGACACATTTAATAACAAAATTATTTTTAACACAAAAATTAAAAACTATGGATGAAAATAATATTATAAAAATTGTTTATGATATATCACTAAAACATAATCCATAAACGATGTCATTCCAATTATTTCATATTTTTTGTTGAAAGCCATAAAATATCAAAATCTTGAAATTTACTTTTTTGGACAATGTTTCATTAAAACTCGAAAACAAAAAATGCTAGGAGAAAGTATTGTGAATGAGAATTGTTTGTAATGAACCAGCAAAACGTTATATGCAAGTAATTGTAACCTAAGTATGCTTATTACCAACCTAGCAGACTTAAAATCTTAAACATTTCAAATTTGATGCATTTAACAAGAAAATAATTGTTAACACAATAACTAAAAGCTATGGGTGAAAATGGTATTAATAAAAATTGTTTATGATAAATCACTAAATCATTATCCATAAACGATATTATTCCAATTGTTTAATATTTTTTGTTAAAAGCCATAAAATATCAATATCTTGAAACTTACTTTTTTGGACAAATTTTTATTAAAACTTGAAAACTAAATATATTAGGAGAAACTATTGTTGATGAGAATTATTTATTATAAACCAAAAAAGCGTTATATGCAAGTGATTATCCCACCTATGCTTATTACCAACTTAACGGACTAAAAATCCTAAACATTTCAAATTTGACGTATTTTGTAACAAAATAACTTTTAACACAAAATTTAAAAAGTATAGCTGAAAATGATATTAATAAAAATTGTTTATAATAAATCACTAAAACATAATCCATAAACGATTTCATTCCAATTGTTTAATATTTTTTGTTAAAAGCCATAAAATATCAACATTTTGAAATTTACTTTTTCGGACAAATTTTTATAAAAACTTTAAAATTAAAAATATTAGGAGAAATTATTGTTGATAAGAATTGTTTGTTATGAACCAAAAAGGCGTTATATGCAAGTGATTATCTCAGCTGTTCTTATTACCAACTTAACGGACTTAAAACCCTAAACATTTCAAATTTGACGTATTTTGTAACAAAACATCTTTTAATACAACATTTAAAAAGTATGGGTGAAAATGATATTAATAAAAAATGTTTATAATAAATCACTAAAACATAATCCATAAACGATTTCATTTCAATTATTTTACATTTTTTGTTAATAGCCATAAAATGTCGAAATTTTGAAATTTACTTTTTCGGACAAATTTTTATTAAAACTTTAAAACTAAAAATATTAGGAGAAAGTATTGTTGATAAGAATTGTTTGTAATGAACCAGACAAACGTGGTATGCAAGTTATTGTAACCCAACTATGCTTATTATCAATACATAATCCATAAACGATTTCATTCCAATTATTTCATATTTTTTGTTAAAAGCCATTAAATATCAAAATTTTGAAATTTACTTTTTTGGACAAAGTTTCATTAAAACTGGTAAACAAAAAATGCTAGGAGAAAATATTGTGAATGAGAATTGTTTGTAATGAACCAGCAAAACGTTATTCCTTAGTGATCATAACCCAACTATGCTTGTTACCAACCTTGCGGACTTAAAATCCCAAACTTTTCAAATTTGACGCATTTAATAACAAAATAATTTTTAACACAAAAATTAAAAACTATGGGTGAAAATGGTATTAATAAAAATTGTTTATAATATATCACTGAAACATAATTCATAAACGATTTCATTCCAATTATTTCTTATTTTTTGTTAAAAGCCATAAAATGTCAGCATCTTGAAATTTCCTTTTTTGGACTAATTTTTATTAAAACTCGAAAACTAAAAATATTAGGAGAAAGTATTGTTGATGAGAATTATTTGTAATGAACCAACAAAACGTTATGTGCAAGTGATTGTAATCCAACTACGTTTATTACCAACCTAGCGGACTTAAAATCCCATAGATTTATAATTTGACATATTTAATAACAAAATAATTGTTAACACAATAATTAAAAGCTATGGGTGAAAATAGTATTAATAAAAATTGTTTATAATTAATTACTAAAACATAATCCATAAACGATTTCATTCCAATTGTATAATATTTTTTGTTGAGAGCCATAAAGTATCAAAATCGTGAAATTTACTTTTTTGGACAAAGTTTTATTAAAACTCAAAAACTGAAAATGTTAGTTGAAAATATTATGGGTGAAAATTGTAGAAAAAGTTTCTGTATATATTTATGTTAATGGTTTGGGATACAAGGTGTCTAACATAATGCCAAAAATGGTCGAAATGGTTTCAATCCGATTACAATACTTTACATGCTTCGTATGCGCTTGAAAATAAAAAAAAAAGATAAAACAATGACACATTTTTTATATTACGTGGAATGTTATCAAAAACAGTGCCAATAAACAACAAGATTATCATCTCAAATTAATTATTGATGATTCATTGAATATTATAATTATTATATCACCAAAAATAAAAATAAAATGGATTTTTGGAATTTATTAATTTACCTATCGAAGTAATTAATTATCATAATGAGTCATGTAGTATGAAAATTTATATTTATGTTAAAAGATTAGATTATGTATTAATTATTTATTTTAATAATCAACTTTATATTCTTGATGATACAAATTATGAAATTTTCGAAAATGTATCAATTTTTACTAAAACACTCCCAAGAATAATAAGTAATCAATTTTTATTCCACTTACTTTTCTTTAAATAAATCAATTCAGATTATAATTAAAGATATTCAAAACAAATGAGAATATTTTCGGTACAAATTAAGATTAATTTAAAACAAACTTACCTCTAAATCTTCGGTGTGTTCGTTTTTGATTTCATCTCTTCCCCCCAATTTGTACTCCCGAAGTAAATAAAATGCGGCTTTCGAATGATGATTATCTAACATTTTTTGGGTGACATCTTTATCTCTGAACGCGTCCACATAATTCGAACCACCAGGATGATTTTTTAAAAAATCTTGAATGTCGTAAGTCTTTCCGGTGTATTTTACGTTAAAAGAGTCGTCCTTTTTAATTCCGTTCATGCTGAAACAAACATTCAAAACAAGCTAAATCAATTTATTTAATTTTTTAATTCATAATAATAACATTAAATATTTGTGTTGTAACGTGCTATTGGTAAAATTTGATGTTTGATAAGACGCGTAATAAAGTAAACGATATCAGGTTGTATTTGCAATAGATTATCTTTTTCTGTTGAAAAATTGATTGTAATAATTTGTTTATTTAAGCAAACTATTACAGAGTATATGTTTTTTGGTTTTTAATAAGAAACTTACATTGTTTTTGACACAATTTTTTTTTAGTTTCACATCGACAATCACTTTTTAAAATCAAAACATAAATATTAAAGAATCGCTAAGAAATGTTTTATATGTTATGAATTAGAAATGAAATTAGGTATGTAGGTAGCTTCATAGAACACGCTTTGATGATAAAATGTGACAAAATGGCACCGGTGTTCGAAGTAATGATAAGACCTGATCGATAAGTGGTATTATCAAATTTATCTGTATCCTTCCAGAGTTGTGTTACGTGGAAAAAATAAAAAAAATGTTGCTCAATAGAAAAGATAAAGCGATTTATCTTGAAATACCCATGCGGATCTGTTCATTATCTCCATTCTGATCCCAACCTATAATGAAAAATCATCTAATAATTGATTTCGTTGGTTTTATTTTCGGAGTAATTTATTGGTCAACAATCTTTTCTTCAAATTCAGTTTCTTATCATTTATCCAAATCTGTTCCCTGTTTTATTAATCATTTTAATTATACAGTAAAATCTCGACATAACGAATTAACATGGGGAAGGTAGTGTCCGTTATAACCAAAAGTAGAGTTTCTAGTTCTAGATGTAGTGTTAGATCTGCTTTTAGTTCAATAAAAATATTCAACAACCTAGCGCTGAATAACAACTAGAACTAGAACTAAGACTAGCACTAGAACTAACACTAAACCTAGAACTAGAAACATTCGATTCAGCCGCACGTCTCTCAAGACGGCTAAACCCGAATGATTCTAGTTCTAGGTCTTGTGTTAGTTCTAGTGATAGTGCAAAACTCGAGCTAACGCTAGACTGAGAACTAGAAACATTTGGATTTAGCCGCATGTCTTTCAAAACGACTAAACCCGAATGATTCTAGTTTTAGGTCTTGTGTTAGTTCTAGTTCTAGGTCTAGTGTTAGTTCTAGTTTTAGTTTAATAAAAGTATACATAATTTGTCGACACATAAAATTAGACGTGTCAAAATAAAGAAAACGACACGGCGTGGAAATGCTATTTGTCAGAAAAAATGGCACACGCATACGTAACATATAAAATTGAAAGAATTACGGCGATAAAAGCCAAAAGGAAGAAATGGGAAATTTTTGGCAATAGGACGAAAGGCGAAAGTAAGGAAAATCAATCAATCTTCATTATTCTTGAAGGTATTAAAACAAATAATAACTGAAAAGTCCAATGATATAAGACCATACAGAATGTACAAAAAAAGAAGAGATGTTGATAGACGAAAAAGAAATAATTGATAGGTGGAGAGAATACTCCCAAGAGCTTCTGTGCAGAGAAATAAATATAGCAAAAATTATCCAACAAGAAGAAAAAAATGAACATGAAAGAGATGAGATAAAACTTGATGAATTGGGGGAAACAATAAACACTCTGGAGAATTCAAAAACTTCAGGCTGGGACAAGGTAACAACAGAAATGCTCAAGTACATGGGACAAAAAAGAAGAGAAGTAATGCTAAAAATCTATAAAACGCCATGGAACACGGAGCAACTACCAAAGGACTGGAAGAAATCACCAATTGTATCAATATACAAAAATAAAGGGAATAGAAGGGACTTCAACAATAAAATTATAGGAGTATAACGTTAATCAGTACAGGAATAAAAATTTTAGAACATACCATAGAAAAAAAGATTAGAATTTAGAAATGGAAGAAATATATAGGATCATATATTTTCCATTAGACAAATAGTGCAAAAAACGACAAAAGAGAAGAGAAAAGTATTTTTAGCATTTATAGATCTTGAGAAAGCTTTCAATAGGGTGTCTAGAGAGAAATTATGGATAATATTCAGGGATAGAAATGTAGATAATATGCTAATCCGACTAACAAAAGTAATATATGAAAGTAATATAAACATAGTTATCACCAATAACACAGACAGAGGGTAACTCATTATTACATACTTGTCTTAAATTTTTGTTTTTTGGTGGATCCTGAGTGTTCTTCGGATTCTATATATATTCTTTGTATATGGACGACATAATTAAAACATGTACGTGTATGAGCAAGAAATTTAATGTAGGACACGTGAAGTTACGAAGAATAGAAGTATCCGAGAGAGCTTGCGCCGACGACGTGGTACTAATGGCACAAAGATAGGAAGATCTTAGAAGGAATCTGGATACATGGAACAAAGTACCATGGGACTGAACGATTATGGCATGACTATGAACAAGAACAAAACAAAAGTCATGGTAATAAGTGAACAACAGGTAGAGAAGAACATTAAAATACAGTGTGTTAATTAATTATAGTACCCGACGTCATCATTACAAGTATGCAACCAATAACGCGATTAGCGTATTGTAATACGGATATTGTGATACTGGTTGCATATTAGTAAAGAAGAGGTATCACGGAAAATAAAACTTAAGGTATACAAGACCATATATACAGTGTGTCCCCGGATTTTGTCTCCATAAGGTATAATTGACGATAAATTTTTGAATTCAAATTCCATCTTTTGCAATTAAAGTCTGGATGTCATAAAACGAAATATAACCAAGTTTTACGGCAAATATCCTCAAAGTACCAAAGTTAACGCAAGAAGTTTGTTAACCATTGCAGGTAAAGTGGTCTTTCTGAGCAATGTACAACAAAAGTTGATTAAGATAAAATGTTTGTTATGTTAAATTATAGCGATATGCCGAATTTTATTAATTTAGCATATAAAGAAAAAATAAGTTTTTTCTTGAAAATTTTTTTCTAATATTCCGTTTTACAATAAAAGCAAATGATCTGAGTGAACTAACAATTATCATTTGATAGCTTAGCTTTAGCCTATTGTCAAATATTAATTGATCATGTTTACATTACAACATAAAATATTTATAGTGCAGTAGTATGGATTGTGGAACATTAGTTACAATGCAGTTTTAAGGCAATTTAAGGAAAAATTTGGAATTTTAGTAGATAAAAAAACAATTAAGAGATTTGTTTTCGGAAACGGGCAATGTGGAAGAAAAAGGAAGGAAAAAAAACTTTTAGATGAACATGATGCGGGGTCGGCATCATGTTCAAAGGGCAGTTCAAGTCGGTATAAGTAATAAAGGGCTGAATTATGTGTTAGTGTTGGTGGTGATATCATTGAATAAGCTTTTATGTTAATTTAGATTAGATCGAAAATGTTTTGTTAATCTTATGATTTAAAAATCTGCACATTTTGCTTTTATATCCTAAATTAATAAAATTCGGTATATCGCTATAATTTAACATAGCAAACATTTTATCTTAATCAACTTTTGTTGTACATTGCTCAGAAAAACCACCTTACCTGTAACGGTTAACAAACTTCTTGCGTTAACTTTGGTACTTTGAGGACAATTGACGTAAAACTTGCTTATATTTCGTTTTATGACATCCAGACATTAATTGCAAAAGATGGAATTTGAATTCAAAAATTTATCGTAAATTATACCTTACGGGGACACAATCCGGGGACACACTGTAGATGGATATTAACGTACGGCTGCGAAACGTAGGTACTAACCAAAACAAGCAATATACAAGCAGCAGAAATGAAATTCCTGAGAAGTATCAGAGGTGTCACGGAAATAAGAAGGGACTTAGAAGTTACATCAATATTGCGATATAATAGAAGAAAGGCAACTTGGGTGGTGGGGAAATTTATAACGAATGGCAATGGGAAGGCAAACCAGACAGATATGGGAAGCAAGAAATGGGAAGAACAAAAAAAGAGGAAGGCCTAAGCGGACATTGGATGAAGTAATGCCCCGAGTTTATCTATGAACATGGAATAGAGTAACTTGGGGAATAACCCGAGTTGGAATCCAGCTAACAGATTACTTCTGTTTTTGATCCCAGTTAGTGAGTATCCGACTCTTCTATAATATTCTTCCCTGTCTCTTTACCCATAGATCAGCCTCCAGCTAACAGATCCAGGAAACAGCTAACTTCTGTTTTTGATCCCAGTTAGTGAGTATCCCACTCTTCTATAATATTCTTCCCTGTCTCTTTGCCCATAAATCAGCCTCCTCTCCTTAATTTCCCTCCAGCACTCTTCCAGGATCATCTTCCTCATACTTCACTCTTCTCAATAAACAATCCATACAGTTTTCACAAATTTCCCAATATGAGGCAAACTACAATAAATAGGTATAGGAATGTTTATAGTTAATTTGTAGAGAATTAAATTTCCTTTCGGGTAGACTAAAAAAATATGAGGCGTTCCGTTTAAAAGTTTCGACTTTCCGCCATTGAACATGGAGAAACAGTAATACAACTCTTGGCCAGCCTGTATAAGATACTCCGATACAACAAATGACAATCTATTTGACAGCATTTGAAGAGTAATCGTGCCAATGTAGATGTTTTTTGAATGAACGTTGGCTGAGATATGGGGTTTTAAAGAGCATGTTGAAATTTACCAAAAAAGACTTAAAACCAAAATAACTCGAAAACGAAAAACGCTAGCTACCAATAACTTTTATCAGTGTATCACTTTTATAAGTGGCGGCCATCTTGAAGATATTTTAGATCGAAAGTTCCGAATGAACAACCCATGCTACCAATGTTTCAAATCTCTACGAATAGTGGAACCTGAAAATGTTCTAACGAACCAGTTACGTTAGACACCTGTATAACTAATATACGTATGATGATAAATGTTAGGTATAAGAAAACTTTAAAAAATTGTTATTTTACTTATTATTGGAAGTAGATAAACTACTTGGAGTAAACAAATAGTTGTTCAAGTACTTCTTATGTCA